AAAAAGTCAGAATTGTACTCGTAATTCTCAACTTTCTCCATCATAAATCAGCTTTAATGCAATAGAAATATCATATTTCGAATTAGAATCAAAAACTGAGTCGACTAATGTGTATTTCGAAATAGTTGATTTCCATTTTTGATGAGAATTCTGGTAATTTTTTAACGTGAAAATTCAAGAAAAACATTAAAGTCTACTCAGGTAGGATAGTGATACACATCAGTCGATTCGTCTTTTGAGCCTAATTCCCAATATATGATATTTCTATTGCACTGAAGCTGATTTCTGATGGAGAAAGTTGAGAATTACGAGCAGAATTCTGACTTTTTCGACTGTGATTGAGAAAACATGAAGTTTTTCAGCATCGGAAAGGATACATAGAAAAGTGTTTGTAGTCGATTTTGTAGAGAAAGACGAGCTCTACAATCGTGGATACTGGAAAAGTGTTTTGAACCATCGTTGAAATAAAAATCACCGACGGCGGGCAAAACTTAGAAACACTTTCTTTCTTTCGAAAAAAAAATTTTTCTCGACGGGTATCAATTTTTGCTATTTCTGAAAATAAAATTCACTGTACGTGTATTGTTTTGGTTTTTTTGTTCACTACAACCATCCACCTGGATATGCAGTTGCAAGTTGTAAAGCTACAAGCTAAGCGATAGTTTATTCAGTTATGCATCTGGAATTACCAGTCTACATCTTGGATTTTTGTTTATCTTTGCAAAGTGTTGGAACTCGTCAGTTTTTATTGGAAAAAAGTGGAATATTATATTAAACGAAAAGGCAAGAAACAATTGGTCCCTGCACTAAACTATCATCTTTCCTATAACCTATAGTTTCATTCAATATTCAAGTCGCGCAGACATCGAGTAAGAGCATCTTTTAGTTATACTAGAATTCACGATTCACCAATAAGTGAAGACAGACAACGAACAATTTGAAAAAAGTTATGCCGTAACCCGGGATTGAACCAGGGACCTTTAGATCTTCAGTCTAACGCTCTCCCAACTGAGCTATTCCGGCTGGAGGAGGTTGTTCCAAACATTATAATGCATTTGGATTTAATTTTTGAACTTTAGAATCGATCTAATCTAGCTTATATTAATGTATGATCTTCTTTTCATTTAGCAATCAATCTTTTAATAACATGCAGTACTTCACTTTTGTTTTAAAAGTTGTTCATTCATTATCATATCAGAAAGTTTTACTTCACAGTACATTCGCATACTCAAACTTAGATCGGAGTATATTGCGAATGTGCAGATTTTGAATGAAAGAACTTCGTTTGTGGACGACTTTTGAAGCTGCCAGATTTTTTCTATCAGCCGTAATTTGGACTTTTTCTTATTTGTTCAGAACGATCTTGTCTCATTAAAATCAGATATTCAGTTAAATTCTGCTTGATTTTTGGCATACATTTTTCTCCTATTACACACAAGACGAAATGAGTTTTCTTCTCCTCTTCCACCTATTTCTCAGTCGTTCTCTTTTCATGTACAAGGGAATAAATCTAAAAAGTCTGTTTCGCATCAATCTTGGTGACGACGACCTCTAGTTGGGAGGCAACGGGTGAATACTGAGTAAAGGTTTTGACTTTTTCTAGTAAAACACGGCGCGAGTTTGAGGATGAGATTGTCATGTTATTTTGTTTTCGATTATGATGAAAATTCTGCCACCGTATTCGTCTGAAACCCGTTTTGTGGAGTTTTAGATGCCTTTTCCACGATTTTATCACTTCAGAGAGATGCTTTCAGTCTGTATCTTAATTCAACCTGAAAACTAAGATAACAAGTTTTCTGTCTGTTCATAAGTCTGAAAAACAGCAGCAAACTTTTAGCCTGCTGGGTAAAATATTTGGGTGCGGATTCAGCAGCTGCGGTTAAATACCGGATGCGGGTTAGAGAATTCGAACCCACCTAAGACTCTACTAAAATCTCTTGAGGGCCACTTACCTCATAACAAGCATACTACTACGAACACGTACTTAAGTTCGTTAGTTAGACTGGTGGTTCTGTTTTTATTGAGTTCACCGCGTTGATTTAGTCTTTCTTGTCCTCTTCATCGGCTCTATCGTGAGATAACTGAAATGATTTTGTCCAAAATGTTCATGCGTCACGTTTGGCCACATCTATATAGAGATTTAGACAAAACTCACTAAATTGAAGAAAAGGTCAATTTGCAGGAGGATAGGACGACTTGAGCTCTAGAAAACTGGACAAAACACATCTAATTTTGATCCAGAGTCTATACCGTTCCAGCCTTTCCATTCAATACCAGTTTCTTAGCGACTTTTTCACCTATGTGACAACAACACGGCAAGTTATACAGTTTAGTTTATATTTCTCTTGCGTTCTTCCACATACTGCTAGAGCTTTGTGGAAAAACAAGAAAAAAATATACTCCATACGCTCTTGACTAAACATTACCATTTTTCAGTTGGAAATTGCATGCAGAACGGTTTGATATGACGTATATTAAGTCAAAAGAAAGAGAAAAATGAGGCAATGACTGTTCCTTTTTTCCTATGTGACAACAGCAAGACAAGTTGTACAAAGAGTCCAAATATGGCTGCCGAGTTTCTGAACAACTGCTAGATTGTTCCTATTTAGGTCGATGTCAAGAAGAATCCCTCGGAATAATTGAGTACACATAAAGTCGCATGTGTCCGCACTATATACTCTATTATTGGAGTAAACAGCGAGAAGAAGTGGCACAAAAGGTATGTGATAAAATGTTCAATTTTTATGTTGAAACATTAGAAAGTCTTGTACCAGACATAGCTGAGCGGAACGAACCAATCGTCCGATGTTTGCGACAAATCATTGCACTGATATGCTATATTGATTCAAATGAAATTAAAGTTGAACATTATGAATTCCATTTAAAAACGATTGATCTTGTGCTCCATGTTTTAACTTCAGCTGATAATTTATTTGTTCGAAAAGACAGAAGAAACAAGCTTTTTAGTGTACTATTGCATCGGTTATTTATACAGTTTAACATTTGTACCGACTCTTCTAAATGTAATTGAACAGAAGGGTTTAAGCCAAATCCTTCTTCGTTATATCAATGCTAAACATGCAGGACATGTACAATTCAATACTTATCGAATATTAGCAGTTTTGATGAATGAAACTGATATTAAAACATTGACAAAACCAAGAAAGATTACAGCATTGTTTAAAACTTTTTTCGAGAAATTAATCGATGATCCATACCGACAGTTGCGATTACGGAGTACACTGATTTGCTTGAAAAGTAAGTTTAGCAATTTAGCCTGCATTCAAACGGATAAAGGAGAAGATAGTTTGTTTTTAAAGTACCATCAAATGTACTTTAGCTCTTGCACAACACGGTGAAATAAAACATGAAATGGTTGCACAAGATGTTCTGCCTCTATTAATTCGTTGTGCTACAGAGCCGAAATTCGACGTTGTACAAAGACAAAAATATTCACTCGGTCTGCTTTGGACAATGACGTTCAATGATGAAGCTGCTACAATATTAAAAGAAAATCAGAAGTTCATGGCTCATGTTAAATTGTTGCTGAGATCCGATGAACAAGATCTACGTAAGGTAGCTGACGGTATCATGTGGAAATTAGATAAGAAAGCTCAGTTTATGGCTAAGCAGGAACGTGATCAGTCGGTAATCCAAGTCCTTGCCTCATCGACTTACAAATATGATATAACGATAAAGATTTATGTTGTCAAATACGAGATAAGCTTATAGCAGATGGCTATCGTGTTTGGTTTGATCGAGATAATTTGTCTGGTTCAATTACGCAAGCAATGGCAGATGCAACTGAAAATTCATATTTGGTGTTAATTTGTATGTCTGACACTTATAAGCGAAGTGCCTATTGTCAATCTGAAGCACACTATGCTTTTGAATGCGGTAGACATCTAATTCCACTGATAATGAAATATCGCTATCACGCCGATGGGTGACTGGGAATCATTGTCAGCGGCCAGCTAAGTATTGAATTTTCAAGAGCAGTCTTTGAACGAGCTTATGACGGCTTGAAGAAGGAGGTTACACAAAAAGGGAATGGGTTAGCGAACGTATATTCTTATCCTGATTCTGTAGACTTATGGGCAGAAGACCATGTCAAAAATTTTCTTTTGGACTAGAAACTTGACATGATGTTAGCATTATTGAACAGCATAAATGGGCTTAATTTGTATGAAATATATAAAATGTGTCGCGCAAATGATTCCATGTATCAATCACTCTCAAAAGAAATGGATGTGTTGCATCGGATGTGAGTGCTGACCATTGGCGTTTATGTTCGATTTAACAATGAACTTAAAAAGTATGTGCCACAAACAGCGAATAGGCGAAATGTCGTTGGTTGTGCTATTTTATAAGAGTGGAAGTTGTTGCCTGATGCCGATCAATTCACCATTTGATCTTATTGTTTTTCTTACATGAAAATCAGGTTTTTGAAGCATTTGTGTAGTTATGTGAGTAACGGTATTGTCCGGTGTAAAACAAACAGAATCTAATTCCGATGCGTGAGGGTATGTTGTTTTCGGCAATCGTTCAGTGTGAAGGAGAAATGATGATAGTGATACTATTCTGTCGATTGTCGATCTGACTTTACTGCTGTTTATTAGCGTGCGCAAACGCTCATTTGTACGAAAACGAAAAGGAATTCGCCCGCGAACTTTCACCTTCTGACGACAATCTTCTTCGATGCGGTCTTCATAGTCGTCACTCCAACAACAAGAAGTACTCCCTCAGTGTACGGTTTGATGAAACCGACGACGAAGATCCAATCAAAGACTACTATTGTCAATGTAAAAGTGGCTCAAAAATGATCTGCTCTTGTGGACACGTCGCTACCATACCGATCAATTTCGAGAAATTATTGACTGCTGACAACAATCACTTATTGTGATTTGAAATTTTCTATCATCATCGTGAACTTGGTCGTTCGATCGAATAGACAAGAATAAGTTGAGCCATTTTTGACTCCCAAACAGCCTATACAGCTGCTCGCGTTGAGCTCTGTAAAACTATCTATTAGAATCTATCGAGGATTATGATATAGACTGCGAAGAAGTGAACATTGAAAATCTAACTTATAATGAATGAGCCGATAAAGAGAGTTGCAGACAGATTCATAGACCGGTACACAAAAGTATCCATAGGGTGCTCATAAAATAGTAGAGTCGAGTCAGATTTCGACGCTGAGCAATAATTTATCAGAGTCATGATTCGACTCGAGTCATCTGATGCGACTCGACTATTTTATGAGCACCCTATTTTTTATTAAAGAATAATCGAATAAAGAAAAAACTAACTTTTGCCCCGAATAAAAATGAAAAAACTCATCAGTGCGCTGTTCTTTTACGGTTCAAGGCGTCGTCTGTTGAGAAGCCTTTTTCTCTAAGAAAGGAACGCAAAACGAAGATAAAAGACGATCATGTATTAAATAATATCCTCTTAGACGACGTAGATGTGTATTCAGTGCAGCTTGCAGATGTTGAACGTACGTTGTAGTATCGACGTTCGACCGTGAATGAATACTAAATTCGATCGACCGTTATATCAGACTGCACCAAACACTGCGACGCAAAACTGAACTTGCCTTTGGAAATGTGTTGGTCGTGGACGACCATGCGGAATCCAGTAAACTAAACCATCGAATCGATACGTGCAGAGAAACCATCCAAACTCTCAACAGCGTTTAGAACGCTTAGTTCAGCAAGCATGAAACGCAATTCCTCAAAACGTTATACGTGGATATATAAATCATGTGCCAAATATTTGTAATTAAATAATAGCCACTCATAGCCATATCGCCACTTACTATGCTTTTCATAGCCGGAAAAGCACAGGGTGATAGACGCTTTCACGTACTTCGAGATTACACACTTAGTTTTGTAATAACTTGTTCGTATATTAAAAATAAATTTGAAAAGATGAATGAAAAGAGAAAAAAATGTATTCCTAGGGAATCTGATGATGAGGGTGTCTTTGTTGAGCTTGACTTTTTTTCCGAGAACAAACGTAATTCAAAAGATGTTTGTAGAGATTTGTAGAGAATTTCACGGGCTATCCGAATCTATAATTACTTTTCAAAAATGTTGATTTATAGTGACAATTTATTTAAAATACCGAGTCTAACTATTTCTGGCCAGGGAGTACATCATCAGATCTTGACTGATTCGAAAGTGTTCATAAGCATCCCACTGTCGTGTTGATTTCTGGTGATATCGATTTTATTCGTAAATTGAGTGATTTACATCATCAGGTTGGATATAATGTTATCGTTGGTCATAATTTGCCTGCTAAAGTCCAATTAAAAGCAACGGTTAATTCACATTACGACTAGTCACAAAGCCGCATACAATCAACACAGCAAAACAGACAACCGACTATACCGATTGAAAATGATTCATCACAACTTTTAAGATCGTAGATAAATCAACAAAATTCGAACAATCCATTTGCTAATCCATTCCCAGAAAATATAGTTGTACCACCGGTTCGTTCTGATTTGCGGCAAGATGCTCGTACGATCCAACAATTAAAAAGAATTCACGAATATCCACTATGTTCTAAATGAATTCAATATCAATGAAACATTCCGTTAACATCAACAGGCGAAACAACAGCTTTTCGATTATCCTTAAGCCCCTTGCCGTTCTAGTCGAGTTTGCTAAGGGAGAGGGTTGTGATGAAATTCTCTAGTCCTTACTTGGATGTGCTCAGTTTTTGATGCTGAATCCAAATAGAATAGTTTTAGAAATTTCAATCAGTATAGTGTAAACGGATTTGAATTTTCTTGAACCTAGATGTTCTTGATCAGCTCGATGAGCTCTATCCAACCGTGTATGATCCAACGAGGAGAAAAATCCGCTCGACTTTTGCATTCCCGGCACCTTACATAAAACCTCGGTTTTTCATGTTGAAAACATTATAGCCGGTAAACAAAAAGTCAAAAAGAAAAATCTACATTCTGAGATATCTAAGATAAAATTATGAGTGCGATCAGATGACCCGTAGAAGAGCATGTTAGAAAATTCTGGGAAAAAAGTACATCGTAAGAATTTGAACTTCTTTTGTAGAAGTGTTATAACTTTTGATCGAAATATCGCTAAGATCTGGAAGACATTTCATTTTATTCAGAAATATTTGATGCTCTACTTGCTAAACACGCCATT